TTACTTATTGTGAAATGTGAGAGTGCTGATGTGTTTGAAAAAGCAGGGCTGGGGGCTGAGTGGAGGGGGGGCTCATGAGAGAGCCAGAACAAGCCCACTTGGCAGGGAGAAATAAGACTGGCAGCTGAATGGTGGCAAAGTGTTGGGAAGCATAATTATGGAAATCACCTGTCCCAGAGCTTTTTTTTCCTCCTCCTGACCACATGTTCCTTCCACACAGGAATAGCATGTAGAGAGGCCAGCTTTGGAGAGTAAGCAGAGCCTCAGTTTCAGAGAGGAAGATGGGGGGCTCTACCAGTCTCTCCAAGTATTAGGTCTCTCCATGGAGGGGGTGGTGCAGGTAATTGGGGAGGGAACAGACAAGACAGCCAAAAAAGCTTAATAGATGGAGAGGCAAGGAGAGGTTTCTAAGGGGAGATCAGAAAAAGGTGGAGGCAAGAGTGGAGGGCGATCTAAATTGGGGGGGCAGTGCAGGAGTGTCTATTGGGAAGGGAGAAGTCTTTCAACAAATTGTTTGGAATTTTACTGTATGTGTTGGGTGTTGGGGGATCTAAAAACCAAGGTGCTTTGGACTTTAAAGAGGGCATTCATTTCAGGGGCTGCCTCAGTCTCTGGCGTCATTGGGTTCATGAGGTGCCTTGACCATGCGTCACATTCATAGGGCTGCCTTGTCTCTGCAGAGCACTGAACCTAAAGGGCTCACCAAACCCTTGATTTTATTGTACTTATTTATTTTTACTATTGTTTTTACACTAAAGCTGGCATGTCTATTGCAATTGCTGTAGGCAGTATTTGTTAGACCTGGTTAGTGCCTGGGTTTCTCGCTTCTGATTACACTGCTCAGGGTATAGACCTCTAGGAAATAGCCCACCTGAACCTGAAGTGGAGTTATGAGGAGGAGGAAGATGAGGCCTTAAAGCACCAAGGAATGTCACATTACAGTGAAGTTGTGGTCAAGGCGGGCCATTCTTGGATCATATCCAAGGAAGTTTAATTAAAGAACTAAAAAGACCTCTCAATAAGCCATCTCATCTAAAATGCAGCCTTCCAGCAGGATCCCAGGGGCATTCTCAAAGACAAGGTCAGGGTTCTAGGAGCGCTGCGGGCCAAGTGCCCCACGCTGGCCACTGGGAGCACAGCTGACACCCATAGCTCCACACTCCCCTGTGCTCATCATGGTGCCATCACACAGGGTGAGACCAGCAGTGAAATGTCAAATGAAAGGATAGGTGACTTTGCAAAAGCCTGCCAGATTTCAGGAATCCTGGCCCCACTTAAGCCAATCTAGGAAAGAATGCCCCGTGGGAAGACAGACGCCAGCCTCACTGAGGACTTGGTGGGAGAGGGAGCAAAGAATTTCTGAATTTGCAGCAAGATTCAGAGGGGAGTAACAATAAGCCCCAGGGTCCAGTATGATCAGGACATGCTTGTCCTCTGAGCCTTTTCTCACAGGAGAGCAGCGACTGGAGAGGGCAGTTTCCCCAGTGCCCTGCAGGTCTCCGTGAACTCCAGGCCCAGGGGCTCCATGCTGGCAGAACGGTGCTGCTGTTGTGTTGGCACCTCGGGGTTTTAGACTGAACTGCCCCCTCAGGGCTTAGACCAACAGTGTGCACCCCTGGGGAGCCTGGTGCCAAGTCCCACACACTCACCCACAGGGCAGCCTTACTTTTTGTTCCCTCTGCGGTGAAGGGCCCAAAGTTAGCTCCTTGCCTGGAGGCCAGCGATAAGCTCCTGATTTCCCTGTGGACCACCTGAACCTCTACAAGACAGGCTCCTGGAGATGCTGGGGATTCTCCTGAACAACAGGGGCTGACAGGACGTTCGGAAGCCTGGTGCTCCTCCAGGGTTACCTGGGTCTGAAGACAGCTGCTGCAGCAATATGGTAAGCAGCTCTTAGCATCCTCTGTCCTGACTTCCCCTCAGCATCCATCAGTTGAGCCTCTATTTTTTAAAATGCATACTATCTAAAAATAGTTGTAATTTCCTGAGCATTTGCTATGTGCCAGGGGCCTCATACCTATTATCTCATTGAATCCTTACTACAATTCTGTTAGGAAGGGACTATTCTCATCCCCACTTTCCAGATGTGAAAGAACTGAAGATAAATGAGATTTGGTGAAGGGCCAGGGTCAAAGAGCTGGTGAGATGTGGGATCAGCAATCAACCTGTGTAGTTTGACTCTAGACCATTATTCAATAACCCCCAAAACAGTCCTCCAAAAGGATAAGCACTATTATTTTCAGTTTAGCTCATGAGCTGACTAGGCTCAGAGAGGTTAAGTAATTTACCCAAAGCCACACAGCTATAAGGCACAGAGACAGAAACCTGTCTAGCTCCAGAGCCCAAGTTATTTTCTCTAAGTTACACCCCAGTCTGGGCTCACTGAAGCTGTATTGCATCCCTCAGCCAGATGGCAGGCACGGTAAACAGGACTGGGTGTGGAATGTGCAAAGTCATCTTTTTTTTTTTTTTTTTTATATATCTTTATTGACTTCAGAGAGAGTAAGGGAGAGAGAGAGATAGAAACATCAATGATGAGTCATTGATCGGTTGCAGCCCACAAGCCGGGCATGTTCCCTGACTGGGAATCGAACCCTGATCTCCTGGATCCTAGGTCNGGTTGCAGCCCACAAGCCGGGCATGTTCCCTGACTGGGAATTGAACCCTGATCTCCTGGATCCTAGGTCGACGCTCAACCGCTGAGCCACGCCCAGCCGGACTGTGCAAAGTCACCTTTATAAGAAAAAGATTTAGGTAAACCTTAACAGGTTTGGGCTTTAAAAAATTGCTTCTTTTGAACACTGATGTTTCTCAGGGGTGTCACAGCTACTACTCAAGTAGCCCCCAGAAGATTTGAGTGCCACCAGCCAATGCAAGTCCCTACCTTCTGGAGGATCTAACTAGTTTAACAGTGCTAGTTCCTGAGTGTTGGAGAACTTGAGTACTGTTTGTCATTTTTGCCCATTCCAACTAGGCCCTCGAATGTGTAAGGGGTGTGTCTACAGAGAATCCCTGTAACCTGATGTCTGAGAAGCAAACTCAAAAGCCCAACCGCATACGCTCAACAAATTATGAGGGACCAGCCTGTCAGTTGCCTTTTTGCTCTCTCTAGGGGCGGAGAAATCTCCTGATATCAGCAGCCAGGAGAAGGGCATACTTATAATCAGCCAAGGTGAGGGGGCTGTTCTCGAAGCTATATGCTCAGATTAACTGTGCCACCGGCTTCAGGAAAGACTGAGTGCTGTCCCATGTCTCACTGGCCTCAAATTCATCAAGTTGAGAAACATTATCCCATGTGATTATGATCCAGCAGCAGACCACAGACTCCCCTGTGCCTCAGTTTCCTATGTCGCACACTAGGAGGGCTGGCATCACTAGCACTCAGGGCTTAGGCAGTGGCCATGGTATTTTCCTCTGACTCAGAACTCTTTTGCAAAGATCGTTAGGATAAACAATTGATATATTTGTTAACATTGGATTGATTTTAAATGCCTGGAGGTATTTAAAGATTTTTATGAGTTCAGATTTGAGGCTTCAGTTTAATATTTATTTAATAAATATTTATTAAATACCTACTATGTGCCAGGGACTCTCTTGGCACATTAATCAAAATATAGATAAATTTCATCTACAATTTAGCAAAGGAAAGGGAAACAATTTATATGTAAAAATACTACATATTATATATATAGTATATATAATATTATTTATATATAGTATTTTTACATATGTGTGTGTGTGTGTGTAAGTATTGGTTCATGAGTAGATAGATAGAAAAAGAAAGAAAGAAAGAAAGAAAGAAAGAAAGAAAGAAAGAAAGANAAGTATTGGTTCATGAGTAGATAGATAGAAGAAAGAAAGAAAGAAAGAAAGAAAGAAAGAAAGAAAGAAAGAAAGAGAATGTTTATGTGATATTTTAACAGAACAATCCTGTGGTGATACGGACACAGAAGGACCAAGCAGTTTTAGAGAGTTCTAGACAGTTCTAGAGAGTGCTTTGAAAATCTCAGGCAAGGGTTTGGTTTTGTGAATGGGTCACACATGGGGGCAGATAGAGCCAAGAAAATATGGGGGAGGGGAGGGGACTTACATCTAGTAAGGGGGACTGGAAACTCAGCCAGGGGAGGACATGCATTCTGTCCCCAGGAAAGAGCTGCTAGAGTTTAGACCCCTCTCCTTCCTGTTGGCATTGGCCTCTTTCTCTTTAAGAAATTTGTACATATGAAAATCTAGACTTATAAATCTTGAACCTGATATTTGTGAGATCAAAGGATTCCTCACTTTATGAAGATACCTTTTAAAAACTGAGCTCCCTTGGTACTTTCAAATATAACCCAATCACCTACAAACCCCTGGGTTAGGAGTTCCTGTGCTATGGAAAGAGGGGTGCCTGCACGGATGGTCCTGTCCTTCACTAAGCAGAGGCATTTATGGGCCCTCTTAAAATTTTTTTTTTTTTAATCTGAAGGAGACAGAGAAGGAGGCTCACAGATTAATGAGCAATCCTAACAGAAAAATCTTTCTGTTAATCCCAGTGTTCCTTATTGTTGTTTTCTCTCCTTTATTTTGCCCCAATTTTTATGTCTCCCTCCACACACACCCCCATCTGTAGATTCATTTTTATAAAGAAAATTGTCCTTTCACTGCCATTTTGACTTGATATGAAGTGAGTGACCTTCTTATCCCTGCCCAAAGCACCCCTTGTATCCCTGTTGCATTTTGAACTTGTTCTAGCCAAACAAGTTCCTATTTCGGAGAGGATCACAATGAAATACTTCTAATTCTAATCTCATTTCAAGTTTAGTTGATATGTTTTCTCTATGGAAATGACTTTTGGCCAAGTCAGGAATGAGCACAGCTATTAAACAAGAGCACTCATGAGAAGTAGGGAAAAGGTACAATTTGTTTCCCCAAGAGGACATCATTGTCCTTGTGCTAAAGGGGACCGTGTGGATGTCATGCTTCATTATCCATCTTCTTCCTCTCGTTTTGTATTCTAGTATGGATTTATCAACACCTGTCTGCAATCTCTTGTAATAGAGAAATTTGGTGAAGAGACATGGGAAAAGTTGAAGTAAGTATATTAAAGGAAAGATGAAGAATTCCTGGGACAACTGGTAAGCTGTCAGCTTTTTTGAGGATTGTGGATTTTTGCTAACCTTTTGATCAAGCCAATTACTTGTTATTAAGGAGATCAATTCAAGTACCTTAAACATACCTATGAGATACAGAAAAACATGCTATACCCTATCTGTTAAGGAAGGTATTGGTCTCAATCTCTAAAACCAGCCTTAAAACAGGGTCCTAATGTGAATAATACCAATGTTACTCTACCTTTCATTCTATGAATGAATTCTTTTTTTTTTTTTTTTTAAATATATCTTTATTGATTTCAGAGAGAGGAAAGGAGAGGGAGAGAGAGATAGAAACATCAATGATGAGAGAGTCCTTGATCGAACCCACAACCGGGGTATGTGCCCTGACCGGGCATCGAACCCTGATTGACTGGATCCTAGGTCGACGCTCAACCACTGAGCCATGCCCGGCCGGGCTATGAATGAATTCTTATTTGCTCTTTTTAATTGCAGAAGAAGCTATTGCATTATTTCCACTGCACATAAATGGAGCTGCTGAAATCCCACAGAAGGGGGAATATATCCCTTTTAAGAGGAGCCAGGATTCCTCCTTAGGCATTCTTTAGTTAACATTACAGTTTTTCCTCTCTGCCTCCCTCTGGTAAACTCTTCATGCTGTTATCTACATGTCCATCTAGTTGCCTGTCTGACTCCTGTAATCTTGTGCTTTCCCTCTGCTTTCTTGGAAGCTGCCAGCCTTAAAAATATTAGAGGTTGAGGCTGAAGGGGTCCCAGAAGTCATTGGTCCTTGAGGAGGGAGGAGTAAAAAATTATAGAAAAATGATTAGCTTCCTCAGTCACACAAATGACACACAAAAGAAAACAATTAGGCTCTGCTTTGCCTATTAAAACTCCAAAAACTTGAAGTGATAATAATCAGTTCTGGTTAAGAGGCGGCAAAATGGGTAACTGCTGATGACATTGTAAATCAGTGCAGCCCATTTGGAAAACAATTCAACAATATGTAACAAAAGCTTTGAAAACCATGAGATCCTTTGAAGCAGTAATTCCATTCTTGAGAATTTATTCTTGAGAATCTATCCCCAGGGAAACACACATATCTATATACAACATACGTGTATATATATAAAATGTAATATAGCCTTGCATTTATAAATAATGAAAGAAAAAATTGTCTTTAATGTTCAAAACAAACCAACAGACAGATGGAATGGCAAAAGCAATGTGCATCGTTATATGTGATGATTGCAAAGATCATGAAGCAACCTTTACAATTTTATGCCAATGTTAAGTAAAAAACAAACAAACAAAATGAAACAAAACAAAACCTCTGAAAACAAGACACAAACTTATATAACCACTGGGTATGCAAATGAAAAAAGAGAAGGGCCAAAATAATAATAGTAATTGAATTAGAAAGATAAAATGCTGCATGGCTGAGTTTTTTCCTAATATCTATTTCCCTAATTTTGTATGTTTTCATTGCTTTTGTATTGTAAAAGCAACTTAAATATCTCAATGCAAATTTTTCTTCACCCCATCCTACCTCCACTTTACAAATAAAATAGAAATGAGCGTGCAGCAGACTTGCACGCACAAGGCTAAACTGAGGAGGAGCCAGGCAGGTCCCACGGCCTGAGCCCCCTCTCTACTATCCCACAGCATCCAGCTGCTCACACACATGTGCCCTGGCCCCCTTATTCTAGGGAAGGGTAGCCTCAGGTCATTTCCATGGCATCTCTGGGCTAATTCACTCAGAGGGCCACAGTTTGGGTGGAAAAAAGAATCTCTAGTTTCATAAGGCAAATAATCCTTATTTCCTAATATTTCAAGGAGGAATGTTGAGTAATTATGATCAGAGAAAACTTGGACTGGTGGAAGCCTGAGAGCTCATCTAGCCAAGATCTTCTCATTTTACAGATGAGGAAAATGGGACCTAGAGACGCTCACTGACTTGCCCAGGACTGCAGAGCAAGTGGGCAACAGGGCCAGGATGCAATGTCAGCATTTTTT